CCCACTTGATCATGATGTATTATCTTTTTGATGTGTTGCTGAATTCTGTTGGCTAGCATTTTGTTGAGAATTTTTGCATCTATGTTCATGAGGGATATTATTTTCTTTCTTAGTGATGTCCTTCCCTGGTTTTGGTATAAGGGTTATGCTTGCTTCATAAAATGTTCTTCTGTACATTTTGGCCTTTCTTTCCTGTCTTTTTAATGACATTTTGCTTTCTGTATGTTCTTGATGTCATCCTTCAGCTTTTCTGGTTTTTAGACATTAGTGTCTAATGCATTAAATCTGTTCATGAGATGGTTTCTAAATTCAGGTGCAATATGTATGGCATAAGTGTATTGAAAAGAAGTCACATTTGTTAAAATCAGACCTAAGTGTGTTTACTAGCTTGGGCAAGTTCTTGAACTTCTCTTATACTCAAGCCCAGTTGCAAACTGAGGCTTTAAGCATTTGAGGGAAATAACTTAGGATTCTTTCAGATAAATATAGAATAAAAGCAGCCTGGAAATAAAAAGTCATTCTAATTCAACATCATGATCGGTCTGAAACTGTGGAAAAACCACCTAAAATGTGGGGGACATTTCCCTGTGACCCCGGCACCTTACCTATCACTGTTGTGGAAATCCGCTTCCTTATTCTGACTGGTTAAAAGAGTGCCTTGTGGACGAGGAGTGGGACTCCAGAGTGAACTTAGTAGACAAATACATTGGTTCTATCACCCCCTGCTGTGGCTGGAGGATACATACTCAATCACAAGGTCAGTTTCAACAGCAAGGTCAGTGGTTCAAATCCACCAGTCACTCCTCAGAAACCCCATACAGGGTCACTATGAGTCAGAACCAACTCCACAGCCCTTAAAATCAACCCCTAAGACCCAAGCTTCAACATCTGTGAAGTGGTATTGCAAAAATATTAATAAACCTTTTGCATGGCATCATTACATCTTTTGGAATATTATTCTACACACGTTCCCTAAAGAGAAAAACTCATTTTTTTCAAAGTCTCTTGGGAAACGTTATATAGGAAATCCCCATACAAGTCCCAGAATGGAGAGAGGAAGACCTTGGCAGCTGTAGGATCTCACTGCATGTAAGTGAAGCAGCAGATGCCCGGTGACTGTGAACACTTTCCCTCATAAAGTCTGCCCTTTCTCTTTGACTAGGTGGTTCCATCAAGGCCCTAACCCCTACAATGGCGCACAGGACTGGCTCTACTCGGGAAGCTACTGGGACAGAAACTACTTCAATTTGCCTGACATTTATTAAAATGCAACCAGTCAGGGCAGTCGGCTCATTTACAAATAAGTCTTAAACCTATGTTTTAATACTTTTTTTTCCTCATTTCTACTCAATCTTTAAAAAAAAAAAAAAGAAGTGAAGAAAAGCCCACCATAACTTGCATTTCACCCAGAAAAGTAGAGCACAAGGTAATCATAGTAATGAAAGAATTGGGAAGAACAGATAATTTTGCTTCCAAACATACTTATTTGGAAAATTATTTTATAGAGAACTAGGGGAATATGCTTTTCATGGTCACTGTTGCCATATTTACTAAAGGTTGATTCATAAATGTAACATTAGCTTTATAAATTCTATAGTAATTCCAAATCAAGTTATTTTGCATATTTTTATGCTGTCATGCTTGAATGTTTTAGATATAACTTTGAAATGTTTAGAATTATGATACAATCTATATGTATGTGCTCAAATATCGAGGCGGTTATGTCATTTTGTAAAGACTACATTGATAAGGTGGCTTTTCTTCATACTAATCCTCTGCTTTACCCATCCTTCCTTCTACAAACAAAACAAAAGCCCAAATATTCACAAAAGGTATTCCTGACTTAAAAATTCTAAAGAATTAAACTTGGAAAGGTATGTTATTGTAGTGCTGTGAATTTACTTTTACAATTGTCTGTAATCAATGTCATTAAACTTAAATGACCATTTAAATTGTACAAGTTTGAATTGAAAATATGTATAGAAAACAATCTTAGCAATTCACAAAAATGCCCTAGAAATAGAGATTTTAATCCTAATTACATAATGACAAACCTTTTTAAATGCTTCAACTTCCAGTGGCAAGTGCCACCGGAGAAATTTGCACTCCTGTATGTAAGTATCAAATCATGTAAAAGGAAGTCTTGTGCATTTCAAGTTTGCAAGGCACCTGTGTACTTAAAATATAGATGGAGACCTACTGTACAGCAGCCTGGCCCCTTTAATTGGGGTACATTAATCATATGGTATTTATCCAGTCACACAACCCCAAAATGAGATATTGCTCTGAGGGGCCGTAGGTAGCTGCCAGGAAATTATTTTAATTGCTGTCTTAAAGTTAACAAGTTATAATGAAATAGTTCTAAAAATTATAATGAAATAGTTTACTTAATGCTAAATAAAGGCTTTAGAATGTTTCCCTAAAGTGTGGTTTCTTTTAAGTTTCAAATATACTAATGCTGCCGTTAATTTTTTAGTCCTAAATTCTCACGAGTATTCTTATGAGCAAGTCCTTTTGGTGCCTCAGTCTCCAAGGGTTAGAGAGAGAACCAGAATGTAGGCAGTTAGCACTTGGTAAAAGTAGGGAATACTTGAGAAAACGTGTGACTAGATCTGCTACAGTGGGAATGGCTTACAAAAAGGGGTGTTTTTTATGTAACAACATATCTATGAGTTAGAAAATGCTTTTGCTCCACCAGTCTGAAAAGATTAAAGGCTTTTGTGTTAAGTTGTTTGCATACCTTCTAAATGATAAGAACACAAGGTTTATGCTTGCATGAAGTTTATTGAAATATTATTCTTGGTGGTAGGCTCCACCTTGAATGTCGACTCAGCCAGCAGCATTTTCAGCATCTGTTAGGAATAATGTAAACATTGAATTGTTTAGATTTACTGAAGACACGGAATGTGTGAAATGAGTGGGAGATCAGAATTCCAAGGTCTGTGCTCTCTGTCTCTTAAGCTCTGAACTCATCTGAATAGTCACCTGAGCTCTTGCAGTAAATATCTTAGTATTTCATGCTGAAAACAGGCTCTTGAAAACTCTACTAATAATCCAAGGAGATCACTACGCAGTTTACTATGTGGAGAGGGCAGAAATGCAAACCACCCTAAGACTGTTTGATGACGGTTTTCTGTATTTAAATCTAGTTAAGTGTATAGTACATGGACTAATGAATGAAATCTGGCTTTTCTCTATCTCTCATATATTCAGAATCTGGAAAGTACAACAAATTATTCTAAGTAACTGAACTCCTTGGTGTGGATGTTTAACACTTGTATTATATACACACACCTACCTTATCGCTCTCCTTTCTCTATTTGTCTCCACTTCTAATCAGTGAATTTGATTATACCATTCTTTTGCTTAAAACATTTATGCTGACTTCCATTTTAACTTTCAGTCCAGGTATCTCTGCTTGCCACTCTTAACCTCTCCAGCTTCATCTGGCATACTGCCTCCCAGCTCCTCCCAGGCAGTCTTATTTACACCTACTTTCAGTTTCCCAAAATGCCACAGGACTCTTTCTGGAGGCCCTTCTCCAGTCTGCCTCCTTCTCCTGCTTGGGCAGTGGTTTATATAGCCCTCCAAGAAATGCCAGGACACCCAGGTTTATGCCCACTAATACAGGAGGGCCTATAGCAGCCATCTGTTCATTTTCTTCATTCACAGATTGTAATTTACTTTGTGGTCTGCCTCCCTCTTGAAGAAGTAAATTCCATGCTTTGCTCACACCACTATACACAGGTAAAGGTTGGGTAGGGTGGTTAAGTATTGGTTAAATGACAAATCTAAAAATGACCTGTGAGTGAGAAACTACCTTATCTACATACAGTTAATTCCATTTGTCTCCTTATCTCTTTACTGTGTTTCCAGCCTGTCTAGATCACTGTAAATGTTCAAAACTCAGTGCATTGTCAGGTGCTCCACATATAATCAGTAGGTATCTACTTTCATGTCGAACCTGTGCTTCTGCCCGCTCATAAAACATGCCAACTAAATGATCAGGTTCTGATATAAAACTGGGTTTTCTGTTTCTTAATCCGCCCCGTTCTAGCCTCTGACACAACGCTAAGCACAGAACAATAGTCAAGGGTGTCTACACTGGCTGGCTGGCAGCCTAGAGATTCTTGGTGTAGGTCATGATGGTGTGACACACTTGTGCATTTTATCAGAAATTGGTGGTAAAGAAGCTGAAGAGACAATAACCACGTCAAATTAGAGTATACCCAGCTTATTGCATATTACTGCAATTCAATTTAATTAAAATATATATATATCTCAATCTCCAGGTCAACAAATCAAACTGCTGAAAACTCAAGCATGTTAAGGCCCACATATTAAGGTAGGGAAATTTACCTACCAGCTTTAAGTTTCTGCTCTGCGAACTTGAGCAGTAGTCACGGTAATTTCTCCAGCAATACCGTAACTTCCAAAGGGAGTACGTTTGTCACCAGATCCTGAACTTTTTTTGGCTACATCTTCTACTGGGAAGGCAACAGAAAGAAACACTGGGCTTTGTGGTCGGGGGACATCTTGTCCACTCGTAGGAGGACTAGTATTCTGGGGATTTAGGGTATGTTTCTGGAATTTCTGATCTGCAGGAACAGCAATGGGTACTTGTACTGCAGCATATCTCTTCAAGGCATCTGACTGTGAAACGACAGCATGTCCAGGAAGAGGTTTCCAATCCTGTGCTTCCTGAACATTTGAGCCTACTAAAATAAAAGGTGGGGCACTGGTCTTCTTGCTGTCGTCCATCATCACATAAGTTGGAGAAGTGACTTTCGGTGGATGCTGCAGAAACTGTGGATCCTTAGGGTTAGATAGATAAAGGGTTGCTTGGGGGAAAGGCCCAGGTGCAGGTGGTGGTGATGGGCGGCTTTGTTGATTCATATCAGCTAGACAATAAAGGGTCCACATGTTAGAATATGGTGGTGGTTGTCCTGCTTCGCTTGCTGCTATTGCTATAAAAAAAAAAAAAATGTGCAGGCATTAAAGATTTGGTCTCTGTATCAAGCGCTATGCACAGAAATATATTTGCAAATCTTTTTTTTTTTTTAACATATAAGCAAACAGCTGTATTAATATGTGCCATAAAGCATGCTATAGAGAGGGCTGAGTAAATTGTGTTTGGTAATGTGGAAGAAGAAAGATTCTCCGTAGTTGAAAATGAGAACAGTGTTGTTGTGATAACAATGGCAGGGACATTAGCGTTGTGGCTGAAGAAGCAATCTCATTCTAAGTTGCTGTTCCTGGACTTAAACTTTAGACAGGGCTTCTACAGGTGCCTCAGACAGGAAATGTACAGTCAACAAAGCTTCTGGCTTTATAGGAAAATCAACTGAGGAGTATGTTAAGCCATTGAAAACAAGGTTAATGCATTTGCACTAGGAGTCCTGGTGTGGCACTGAGGGTTGTAGCGCTGAGGGTAAAGGCGCTGGGCTGCAAGTCTGGTTTAAACTACAGTTCAAGCATATCAGCCACTCCGAAACCCTATACAGGTTTGCTATGGGTCAGAATGACTCGACGGCACTTAACAACAACAGGTGTCATTTTTTTGTGCACATCATCAAATATTTCTGGCCATTCACAGCACCATTATCCCCCATAGGTCTCAGAACCCCATGGAGTACCCCTTATTGTAAACAAGGTTTGAATTCATGGGTCCAAGGTAGTCCCATCAGGGTTAAGAACACAGAAATCTAAGCGTGTCGTTCATCTTACACCCAGGAAGCTCTAAAGTTTGACTTGTCTAATGAAGACAGTACTGTCTTGAAGAACTAGTCCCAGAAGGTGAGACTTAGGAGAAAAAAGTTCCTTATGGGTAGTTGCACTCCTTCATTTTGCTCAAATGTGTTTATTTCACCTTGGAACACTAGGTCGTCTATCCATGGTGCAGCCTTTTTTCCCCAGAAGAGAAAATACCACTATACACATGATAAAGCAGCAAGGGTTTCAATAGCTTCAGATACTTCCAATTGATCTTCAAGCTTATTAAATAATTATGTGCAAGCCAAGTCTCCAGTCCTTTACAAGGGAGAGATCATTGATAGCTCAATCAGTTTTTGTTGCTATTGCTGTTAAATACCATTAAAAAGTTCAGCACTTGAAAACCGTGACTTGGTATGGAAGTGCTGCTTAAGCCACAAGGATAATGCCGATCCCAAATGCTACACTGCCAACACTCCCCTCAGCTTTTTCAGCTGCACAGAATCCCCATCACACTGCCAGACAGAATTTGATCTCTTCTAAATACCTGCTTTAGTAACTTTTTGATAGCATTCTGGCTCTGGGAAGAGCCAAAGTTGAGAGAGCTTTTGTAAAAGGAATGGGGAGACTGGCTCATGCATGCCATAGCTATACTTAGAGTGAGAAAGGTTCCTTCAATTGCCTCGGTGGGGCAGAAGGGTGAGCAGACCAAACGTCATAATTGGATTGAGACGGAGGTCCACTCATGTCTGTATCACAGTAAAACAGTGATGGTTATTCAGCAGCTAGGAAAGCATCTTGATTTGGGCACGTGTTGGGGGGACAGACAGAAGGAAGCCAATCATCTGAGCTGCGTCCATTGTTGCTCAAGTGCCTGATGAGCAGTCCTTTCTGCCGCATATCCCTCCCTGATCTCTGTGAGACAGAGATTGACCTGACCTCTCCTCTCTCCATCCAGCTATGAAGTTGCTCACTCAGCTGCAGAAGCTCCCAGGCAGGAAATCCATGCTTGACCTAGCTCCCCAAACCTGGTTGCAGAGCTCTCCTACCTCAGTGCGAAAGCAGTCAAACACACCACCATTTCTTTCATTCTGATTCCTTCCCTGTTTCTCAAGTGGAGGAGGCTACATGCCTCAACCTATGTAAATGCATTGCTGGAGATGGATTTTGCATTCACAAATGAGTAATTGCAAACCAACAACCCCTAATTACAGTTTTGTAATCGGAACACAAAATCGTTTTTTGTTTTTATTTGCCTGACCACAGGCTCTCATTGTTTTCCATGACATAATGTGTCGAAAAGAATAAAACCAAAATGCTACATGACCAAACTTCAGGGATGTCACTTTAAAATTATTCATCTCATGAAAGTAAAATCTCAAATACAGCAAAGCATTTAAGCAGGTCTGGCATTTTAAAAACTAATGAAAATGAAAGACTTTTGATCCTGTATGAAGGAAGCCTACCTAGACGGTTGCCTGAAGTACACATGTCACCTGAAATGCAATTGGTAATTGTGTAAGCATCTCATTATCTTACCTGGCTCCATCAAACCTTGTTCAGGTGGTGTTTCCCCTTCTGGTTCGATTTCTGGTTCTGTCAGACCTTCTGGAACAGGATTGGGGAAGCCACTAGATGATCTTATAGATGTACCTGAGTACACATCTTTTGCAGATCCCCCAGAGAGCACAGGGTTGACCTCCGTCTCCTGGGATGCAGAGTTTTCCCATGGCTCATCCTGCCCAGTACTGTCAGAGATTATGGTACTGACCTCCATCTCAAGGTGCAGAGATTTCTCAGAACCTACTGACTGGACAACAGAGCCCTCTGCATGCAGGGATTGTTCAGTCACCTCTTGCAGACCTTTCAAAGAGGTGTTAGAGAACAGAATTGTTCCTTCTGCCTCCAAGTGTACTGAGGACACTTGTGTGTTATCCTCCTCCAACTGTACAACAAATTTTGCAGAATCTAGAGATTTTGCAGACATGCCTGAAGCTGTCTTGGGTGCTACAGGTTTTGAACTATCTGGTGGTGACTGCTCATTTTCATTAAGGCAAGCAACTTGATCAGTAAGAGGGATAACTATTTGTTCTGGCATTTGCTCGACATAAGAAACTCCTTCAGTCACAGGCACATCATTATATATAGATGATACATGAAGGATTGATGTAACCTTAATATCAGCCTGAAAAGGGACCTCAGGAGCTTGATCATAAGAAGCAGGAGGTTCTTGTTCATCCTGCAAGGGGAGTGAGGAAGCCGTTGATGGTTCAGCCTGCTCGTCTTTGGGTTTAGAACCTATGTCTACATGGACAGATGTTTGGCTCAGAGCCTGCATTGTTACCACCTCTCCAGAACACACAAGCGGAGGGGGCACCACGGTATCTTCAGCAGCCTCTGAGCTCAGCACCTCCTCAGGAAAAGTAGGCATACTTGTTGCCACATCCACCATTAAAACGTCAGACTGATTAGAATGAACAGATGAATTTTTACCTAACATCTGGGCAGCAAACTGAGCTGGATCAGCTGGGACATAGGCAAACTCTGGTGGGACAGCTGCTGGAGATGGTGATAAAGGTGGGGTAGTAGCCTTCGGGGTGGATGGTTTCGAAGGAGAACCACAAACTATGTCATGTTCATCCACAGGCTCTCGGAGTTCAGCATGAACTGATGGAAACTGGGTGGTTTTGTTGATAAGTAGTGGGCCACTTATGTTGTCCTCCTCTGTGTCTGTAGATTTTTCCTTCCGTGTAGGTTCTGGGGAAATGACAGATGGTCTTTCCACTTCCATTACACATTCTGTTTTCTTCTCTTGTACCATTCCTTCTGACCACTTCTCAACTGAAAACATTAGTCAAATAAATTAGTCAGTATCTACGACCCAAATAATTTTAAAGACAGCAGCAACAATTGAACATTCAAATGTCAATATACACACAAATACAAAAGAGTTTGGCTTTCTTTTCCAACATCTGTAGGTAGGGAAACACTCCTGTCCTTATCCACTCAAAAGACCCTTCCTCCACTGGTTCCCTTAAACGCAAGTGACTAAAAAGTATCATGGCAAAACCAATCAACAGATACCTCCCTAAGACTGTCAACATGAGGAGAGACTGTACTTCTCTGTCTTGAAATAAGGAAGCTGAAAATCTTCATGGACAAAGCTCTTGAACCAAAATTCCATATAAAATTGGGAGAAGGAAAAAAAAACAAAACAATTCTTAAACCTGAGAAATAATCTGGTCTTCAACTGGTAAAGGAATAAGTTATTAATGAAGCAGCTGCTGTTACATTAACAAAGGCATTCCTTAATATAAGACACTTGGTACCTAGAGTTTTCCTTAATTACAGGCAGTCCTTGGGTTACAAATGAGGTTTGTTCCTTAGTGTGTCTTTAAGTCAAATTTGTAGGTAAGTTGGAACAGGTGCACAGGTTATTTGCCTTACTTTAGGGCAAGAAAAAGTTCAAAGCCTTTTCAATGATTTAAAATCGGCACATATAGCAAGTGAAGGTGATTGTGATGAAAATTTGTTGTGAGTAGGGGTTGATTTAATCATTTAAAGTGGTTGGTTCAATCATTTCAAAGAGAGCAAATTTAATAACTTTAAAAGGCAAGTACAGTTATCCATACATAAGTCGGATGTTCATAAGTTAGTATAATTGATGAACGAAGGCACTCCTGGATCTTGTTACATTAGAATACCTCATATATTCTAACCTAAAATGGCAACACCTGGCATTTGTGTGAAAATACAACCACAGGTGTACTGAGCCAGACAAGGGGACTAGAAAGAGATCTGTTAAGATTCACAAGTATGGCACAGGGGGATAGTCCCATGGCTTGAAAGGTGAAGGAAGCCAACCCCATACAGAAACTCCTAGAGCTGAAAACCATTTTCTGGTCTCAGCATTCTGCTAACCACCTTGGTCATTACTTCTCAGAAGTGTTCACATCTACTTGCAAAGCACTTTCTCTTAGAGAAGCATTTCTCTTAACACTGCAGTGAATCTTTCAGAAAAGTAGCGTTTGCTTTACAAGAATGTGTTCGAGTTGAGTCTGAATTCTATGTGAAGAGGTATTTTTTATAACTTCAGCTGCTTCCCGAAAAACGGTGTCCTTTGGTGTCTCCCTCTAAAATGCTGCTCAATTGTTTTAAATTCGTATTTGTATCTAATTTTGGACTACGGATGTTACCAACAAAATGTTCACATATGGATAAAAGTTTAAACTAAAACACAGAAAATCACATCTATTCTTACCTGCCTCTGCTTAGAGCAGTCACCTCATTTTTCTAACCATCCACCTATTCAAGACTCCCCTGCTCACCTTTCCTCAAAGCTCTTTCACCCACCAGTGCATGTTACTAGTGCCTGCCTTATGTGTAAGATGGGGTGCTAAATCACTGCTAACAGAAGGTTATTAAGACATGACCTCATATAGCTTACAGGTCAGTTGTTCTTCTTGTCATTAAGCACCATGGAGTCGGTTCCGACTCATAGCGACCCTGTCTAGGGTTCCCAAGGCTGTGAATCTTTTCAGGAGCAGAAAGCCTCATCTTTCTCCTATGGAGCGACTGGTGAATTTGAGCTGCTGACCATGCACTTATCAGCCCAGCTCATAATCCACATGCTCCCAGGGCTCCTCAAAACAGACACATAAACATTATAATAAAAAGTACAGTGAGCTCTTCTGGCTGAAGGAACAAGGAAGTTTTATTTTAGAAAAGGTTTTAAAGAGTCTTGGGACAGTTACATTTAGGATGTAGGAAGTTGCAAAAAGAAAACGTTGCTTCCATTTTAATGAAAAAAAGTTAGATAAACCACAAAATCAAATCTTCTTAATCCCATCACATAGCTGAGTTCACAAGGCAGCCAAGTAACTTAATTTCTAACAAGGAGCCAGGCCTTCCTAGGACAGAAGAGACAGAATCTCTCATTTGTGGTAGTGCACAAGAAGAAGAGACTGCTAAGTCTTCACATACTGTTAAAGGAACCCTGGTGGCATAGTGTTGAATCCCTTGGCTGCAAACTGAAAAGTTGGCAGTTTGAAAGCACCAGTGAGTGGCTCAGCAGGAAACCAATCTGGTGATGTGTTCCTTATAAAGATTACAGCCAAGGGAGCTCTATGGAGCCATTCTACTTGGCCGTAAAGACTCCCTGTGGGTGGGAATCCACTCCACAGAACACAACAAAAGGCTAACTGTGAGCTCCCAAGTCCAGAGGCTCTGGGAGTTAAGCATGAACTGATGGAATCCCACTTACAGTCTCCAGAAGAAACATTCTGGCATCTCTGCTGTAGTTCCTCATCTCTGTTGTCGTTCCTCCGACCACTTCTCAATTCGACTTGAGAGGAAACTTTATCAAGGGCTTCACAAGAAAGGGGTAGACTAGGAGACCAGTGAGAACCCTCTGCTGGGGGACAGGTAGCAGCAGGATGAAAGGGAAGTAGACACACCAAGAAAAGGTCTCCCACTTCTGGGGCAGAAACTAGAAACCCTATGGATGAAGAGAAGCAAAAGATACAAGGCAGAGTTTGGCTGCCAAGTGGAAAAAGGGTCAGAATACGGAGAAAGCCCCACACCTGAGGCCCAGGTGTTCGGGATCAGTCTTAGCCTATAGAGGAGGGCCCAGAACAACATAAACCTTCTGCCTTAACCAGGAGCCCAATGCTGAGTAAGAAGCCAGCAGACAGGTGGGCAAGGGGCAAGAGCTTAGTAAGAGACCTTTAGTGCAGGCTTGTGGCCACCACTGAGAGCTGAGGGCAGAGTAGCACTCTAGCTCCCACCTTCAGCCCAAAGGAACAGCAGCCCACTGTGAGAGGAATTTGAAGCCTGTGATGGTGGGGGTTATGTGTTGTCAAGTCAGTTTCGACTCAGTGACCCTGTAGAGGGTTTCCAAGGAGTGGTTGGTGGGTTTGAATCACCGACCTCACTCCAGCACCACACCAGGACTCCGAAGTTTGTGGTAGGAATACTGAAAGTAATGATAAAAACTCACTGTGGAGTGAATTGTGACTCATGGCCACCCTACAGGGCAGAGTAGAACTGCCTCATCGGTTTTCCAGGGCTGTAATCTTTATGGAAGTTGCCCCACTGAGCAACTGAGCAGCCGGGCATGTCACCGCTGTATGACCAGGGTGCCTTGGGGTAACATGTTGTGGTGATTGTGTGCCATCTAGTCGGTTCCAGCTCAGAGCAACCTTGGATAGGGTTTTTGAGGTGGTAAATCTTTACAGAAGCATAAAGCTTCATCTTTCTCCCAAGGAGCAACTGATGGATTTCAGCTGCTGACCTTGTGGCTAGCAGCCTAATAATGCGTAACCCACTATGCTGCCAGGGCTCCTTGAAAGTAATGTCAGAACAACAAAATGCAAACCTAACATCTCCTGACTAGATTGACACCCATACACAGTATAAATCCACAGAGTCCTATTTTCTACAGTAAAGTCTTACAGTCCTCAACCACTGGCTTATTTACAATTAGGGTTTTTAAGAACCTAATTAGAGAGGGATTACTATAATCCTAAAATGCTTGTTTGAGGCCTCTCTGATATGTTGCTGGCAAGACATGGCTTAGGAAACTCTGAAAAGGTTTATTTGGTCTCAAGCTTGTATCTAGAAGTCCTCTATTAACATATAACATTCTGGAAAGTTGAAACACTGTGTAATTATGAATGATTAACACTCTATCAGAAAATTCATGATAACTGTTTTCAGAAGCATGCAGTAAAATTCTGTATGAGAAGAAGACCTGGGCTTCAAGTCCAGCTTGTGATTTTATGAGCTGCACAATTGGTCAAGTCAAGTGTCCAGTGCGTCAGCCTCATGTGTACCATTCGGATATCATCGAGTTAGAGATTAAATGAAATAAGATATTTGAAAATGTTCTATAAACTACAACGTACATATACATGGGGAAGGAATACATCAATATTTAGTTTAAAAGGAATGTTGGAAACTTGAAA